CAGAAAAATTTATAAAACTCGGGGACCGCTAGTAGGTGCAGGAGAAAGTTCGGTATTTCGGACACCGATTCTGGTAACAATCCCTCATTCTATTCTCTATTATGGAATTGAAGCTTAATAATCAATAACATGATATTTTGTGAAATTTAAAAAATTTTGAGAATAATTACAGGTCATTAATAGAACCAAAATTGATTACTTATTTATTTGTCATGTTTAACTGATTATTTGAATTTACAGCTTTAAAATGCATGATAAAATATTAAAATGGTTAAATGATTCATTTGTATTTTTTTGATGTATATATCAATTGTCTTATGCGATTTACTGTTGATTTATGAAATTTAAAATTAGTATGCAAATGAAAAATTATTTGGTTGTGTGAATTAATAAATAGTTGTCTTACTGGATATCCTGAGAGATGGTGGATCGGATCACATACATAAAAAATCATACCGTGAACATTATCTCATACTGGACATGGTATCGATGGATGGTATTTTTAGTGCTCATACCGGACGGGGTATGGAGATAGCCCGATTCACCCTCATACTGGACGGGGTATCGATGGATGGTATTTTTGGCACTCATACTGAACGAGATATAGAGACAACCCGATTTACCCTCATATCAGACGAGATATCGAGGGATGATATTTTTAGCGCTCATACTGGACAGGGTATGAAAACGTCCGGTTAGTTGACAGGTTTATATATTAGGTTCACGCGTAGTGGGACACCCCTATGGACCCCCAAGGATACCAGTAAGCAAAATAAAAAAGAAAAATTATTGTTCTTGCTCACTTGAATATGAGATCATAATGTTATTTGATTTATTGTCTCTATAGATAGGTTTCGAAAATCTTGCAACAGTAAGTATGCAATAAATGGTTTTCTTTATGATAAATGAATTTACTTAAATTAAGAGCTCAACTGGTTATTTTTATAATTTTTACCAACCTTCGATTTCTGTATCGGTGAGTAGTGTGATATTCTTATTGGGTTAGTATAGCTCACCCCTTTCCCTATTAACTATTTCAGATTAAGAAAATCAAAATCCATATCTTGATCAGCAGGAGGATTGTGAGTAGGTGTCCCCCCGGATCATATCAAGAGGTAGTAGAGGTTTACCTTACCCCCCTATAATATTTATTTACTATTTTTATATGTTACTACATTTTTTATTTTATGAACCGCTGTGAAAGGGACATTTCTGTAACTCTATTGGGTATGCTAATTTATGTGTAAAGAATGTAAACCATAACGTTATTATACGCTTCTGCATTTAATTTATGAGCTTGTTTCCATTTAAGTTTCGAATCTTTACAAAATTTATAATCTTAGTTTGTTTTTCCTTAAGCATATTGTTTCCTTATTTGTTTATTTATTTTAACAGTCTTAGTTACCATATAATTTCAATTTGTGTGAGGAGAAATCGATAACATTCAAAATTAATATGCGAAAGAATTTAGAAATAAAAGTTAATTTTGAAATATTTAATTTCAGGATATTCTCATGCTTAGTTCAAAATATAAGAAAAAAAAAAAACGAGAGAAGTTGAGAAAAAACACAGAACAAAGTAGCTTAAAAATGTGAATCCTGAAATACCAATTATAATACTAGAGTATTGTTAGTGGTATGTATATTTAAATAAACTAATAACATAATAATGAGGGTATATATTTTCAAGTTGATTGCTTTTTGTTTGTTGAAACTTTGTATTAGTAAACTTTTTGAGTTGAATAAACGAACCCACCACTTAAAACATGCTTAGAAAAGAAGTGTCTGGTCTTGTCAACGTAATCATGGGGCAAGAATATAATACCATATAAAGTAGTGCTTTTTATGCTTAATTAATCTCTTTAATTCTCCAATTACACACACGCCTTGGAGCAGGAAGAATAAGAATATCTATCAACATTTATTTAATTCATTCATTCATTTTGCACTTTCTACAAAGAAATAACTTATGAAACAAACAAAGGCTATATATATATATATATATATAGATTAGCACTAGGGTTCTCGGTAGTAGGAGTTCATCATCTCTGCGTAATAAAATCATATACTTATACATACATGCATTGGAGTTCAAATTGAAGCTTAATCATGATCCTAAATTTTAAAAAGAAAAGAAAAAGCACTTTTGGGTGGTACCAATCTATTTGGGTGTAAAACGTTAGTACTCCATTTCTTAAAAAAGTTAGCAAGAAAATTACAGGGTCACTAATTTAATTAAAGGTAACGTCCATAAATTGCCTATAACAACTAAAGGCTCATTTTATATATTATAAATATACCTATCTTTTAACTAAAATTCTATATAATGATCATATTTGAATGTAGTTTTATGTATAAATTCGAACCAACTTGATCAAAAGGTAATTAAAGATTGACTCAATCTGATTCGATTGTTCGGATTTACAAGATATTTATTTTCTTTACCCTAATTAATATAATATCACGTTAAAATAATATAACGTTTTATCTTTTATTTGGTACACTAAGGATAACCCATGCAATATTTCTTATTCTGCATAAACTTTATTTTAAATATTCATAAATATGAATTATTTTAGGGTTTCACGATCGCGTCTATGCTCCATGATTCTCTAGTGTTTTAATACCAAAATGCAATTCCTATGTCATGAGAATACTTCTTAATTTTGGGACCGCTTCTGAATATAAATGACACTGATAAGTTCAGAGATTATTTTTAGGTTTAGTATTATTTCTAACTTTTTGGAATGCTCTAGAGTTCCATGATAGTTTTTTAGTCTTATTATTATTCCTTTTAAGTTTCTTCATTTTTAAGTACTTCGATACTTTTAAATTATTTTCTCTTGATTCAAACTTGTAAAAAAAATAATTTTATGTTATATTAAATAGTCGGTACATTATAATATATATTTTATGTCTATTTTATAATAAATGCGAACAATTAATATGAATGGAAGAGCAAAACATTACATGATGAGGCAGAGAGTGAAAATGACAAGAACAAATAACTATTCTAAAAGAAAAATAAGAATAATCTTATCTTTTAAACCATTTTTCTCTCGATTTCAATTTATAAAAAAAATAATTTTATCTTACATTAAATAGTTGGTTATAGATGATGTATGTATTATAATAAATGTATGCAATTAATAGGAATGGAAGAGTAAAAAATTATATGATGATGAGATAGAGAGTGAAAATGACAAGAATACAACATAACTACTCAAAAGAAAAGAAATAAAAAAAAATAAGACAATCGACTCATAGTTGACACGGAAAAACTTATTGTTTATGAAATCCTTTTTTAACTTTTGGCATGAAATAGTTAATAATTTACGTGTGATAGTTACTAACCACCACTTAATTTAGCGGTTTAAGTAAATATATTTCTCTATATGAGTTGTATATTTAAATCAAATTATAATATTTTTCTTATGTATTAGGTTTTAATTGACTTGTTATATATATACATACATATATACTCAAATTGATTTAAAATTAAAAAGAAAAAACTTATCAAATATAAAGAAAAAAGTTTAGACCATCTCGAAATTTTAATATATTTTTACTTATCGTATTATTATTATTATTATTATTATATGCTATATACCAATTAATGGAATTATGGCAAAAAATAATATATAAATTTCATTATTGAAAATAATTAGGTAATTTGTATTTTAAATTAAATGCAAGAGTGTTATAAATTTCTTTATATACAGTATACACAAAGACATATATAATGCTCAAAGAACTAAATTACATTACAATTAAATTGTAGTAAACATCAACACGAGAAACCGGCTTCATAGCATTTAAAGCTATGATATGATAATATCATATTGTAAGAAGAGTCCACCACCTTCTCTTAAACAACAGGAGTCCATACCCAAATTAATACACACAGATTATATACATATACATATATATATACATACATACATATTATGTTTAATGTATAAATTTGTGGGCATAAAGCTATATTTTTTTTGACGGTCAGTAAGTAAAGTATATTAGAGGAATCTAATTAATTTAAATTTTTAATATATTTTAACCATTTTTAATAATTTTATTAGTTTTGTATTGGAATAGATTATTTGTATATTTTTAGTAAAAATAAGTGATGCAAAAAGATGATTCATAAAATAATAAAAAAATAATTTAAAAACGAAAACATAGGGAAATATAATTTAATATGAACATACAACTTTTTTTATAGAAAAAGAAATATACTAATAATGGAGAAGGATATACTGTTTTTATTGGTTATACTTTGTAGGAAAAATATTTTTCAAAAGTCAATTATTTAATTTCATTGATTATAATATGAATCGCAATTTATGATGTATATATTATGTTATCTTTTATTCATTATTCATTTTCAAAATTTGTTATAAAATATAAATAATAAAATTTTAAAATAAAAATATTAGAATCACACTATATATATATAAAAAAAAAAAACCAGAAAAGTTCAACCATATTTACAATTGTATATTATCCATCTCAAATCCAAGTATATGTTTACATATATATATATATATATGTATATGTATATATCAAGGAGTAAGCTCATCTTCCCCCTGATTAATCTTCTTGGGAGCTTGGGTTTGTATATCTTCTGAAACTTTGTTAGCGATCACTATTCTCTAACTTGACTACGTGATCAATCTTTTTATTTTCCTCTTCTGTTTCTCCATATACATACATAATATATATGTTGGAGAAAGTAATATCTAAAACCGTACACAATTACAGTAAAATAAAAATAAAAATAAAAATAAAATATACAAAATTTAAAGTAATTGGATAGTATGTTTAAATCTAGGAGCAAAACTGATAAAACAATATTTGTAGAAGGATACATACATTCATAAATACCCACATGCATATACACGTATGTAAATACACGCATATACGCATAACCGTCATATAGATTCATATTATGTAGAGATATAAGCTGAAGAATCTGTTTTCAGCACTAGTAGTAATCAATTGAGAAGTTCCATTGGTCTAGGCTGTCCCGGCGTTTCGTCTCCCCAACTAAGTTTTGTTGGTCAACGGCTCCACTCACAATTCATCTGGGTCTTCTTCCTTACTTTTCTCTCTTAGACTGTTCTGCGATTCGTTTGTTCGCCTTTTTATGCCACCAACCAACCTTTTTCTCTCTGTCCAAACACTATCCTTCACTATACATGTTTATCTTCATTTTCTCTTTGCCACCTTGCTTGTGTGGTAGAAATTGACGTATGAGTGTTTCTTCTTTCTTCTGGGTTTGATCAAGATCAGCAGAGTGACTGAAACAGAGAGAGAAAGAGAGAGAAAATGTTGTCGGGGATTAGAATTTTGGGGATTATACTACTCACTGCAGGATTTCTTGAGTTAAAATACTACCCAGTTCAAGGCCAACCATATAGGATTCTACTGGACACAGATGTTGATACAGATGATTTCTTTGCTCTCTTGTACCTCCTCAAGCTTAACAGATCAGAATTTGAGTTGCAGGTCACTAGTAACTTATCCTCATCATCTCCATAATATATCTACTTATATCTAAACTAACTTACAATACCCAGTTATCTTTTCGTCCTGTCCAATTCTATGACTCACTTCATGAGAGATTAATTTGATGATTTTCAGAACTTGACATGACATCTTGCAGGCGGTCACTATCAGCACGAATGCATGGACTGATGCCGGACACGCTGTTAATCAATTATACGACATGCTTTACATGATGGGCCGAGACGATATTGCAGTTGGAGTGGGAGGTGAAGGTGGGATAAAAGCAGATGGTAAAATTCTAAGAAATGTCGGTGGATATCTTCCTATAATTGAACAGGTTAACTCTCTTTATTACCAAACAATGCCTTGTTGTCCCGGTTCCGATTCTTATAATTACTCAAGGTCATTGTATTAGGGGATGACGACAGCCGGAGGCTGTAGATACAGGCAAGCAATTCCCGTAGGTCTCGGAGGACGATTAGATGTTGATACGAACTATGGCCTTCGAAAAGCATTCCTTCCACAGGTATGCTACTACTAGGAAACCTCTTCCTCTGTTCGGTTCTGTTTCTGTTTCTGTTCTGTTTTGATTTTGTTCTGCTCATGAACCTGTAGGTAGCAGGAGATACTCTCCTCTCCGACAGCTACTGCACAACAAGTGATGATTGACACAGTATCAGCTGATCCGGTAACTGTCTTGCTCACTGGAGCTCACACAAATTTCGCCATTTTCCTAATGAGTAATCCACAATTAAAGAAGAATGTTAAGCATATATACATTATGGGAGGCGGTGTGAGGTCTAAAAATCCAACTGGCTGTTGCCCTCCAAATGCCACCAGTTCTTGCCAGCCTAGACAGTGTGGTGACCATGGCAATCTCTTCACAGACTATAAGAGTAATCCTTATGCAGAGTTCAACTTCTTCGGTGATCCTTTTGCTTCTTACCAGGTGCATAAAATTATTCACATCCACCTGCAATGTGCAAAAGAAAAATTATTGTTTAGATTGAAACCATCAAAATGGGTGATTTTTTTCTAGGTTTTCCATTCTGGGATTCCCATCACGCTTGTTCCCCTCGATGCAACGAATACAATCCCGATAAATGCTAAGTTCTTCAAGGAATTCGAGCAGAACCAGTATACATATGAGGCACAATACTGCTTTCAGTCATTGAAAATGGCACGGGACACTTGGTTTGATGACCATTTCTATACAGTATGTTAATTTCTTGTAACGCAAGAAACCTTCTGCATTACTTGTATTTTGGAGAATAGAATGTTTGTGAATATGATCTGCTAAACTCTATGCAGAGCTACTTCATGTGGGATTCTTTCACATCTGGTGTAGCAGTCTCAATCATGCGTAATTCGGGTTATAAGAGTAATGGGGAAAATGAATTTGCTGAAATGGAATTCATGAATATAACTGTAGTTACTTCAAATGAGCCTTACGGAATCTCAAATGGCTCAAACCTGTTCTTTGATGGCCGTAAAGTTCCAAAGTTCAACTTAAAAAAAGGAGGAGTTCATAGTGGTCATGTACAAAAAGGGCTAAGAGATCCATTTTGCATTGTGGAGAATGGGAAAGGGAGATGCAAGGTAATAAAAAACAACTTTTTAGAAGATGAATTAATGATTTCTCGAGTTTCCAATCTGGTTTATCTTTCGTCTTCCCTTCAACCTTTTTGGTTATGAATTGGTGATCATAATTCAAATCTGCTGCCTTTAGAATCGGATTGACTATTCCTGATAAATATGTTCGTGTTCAATCAAGTAGGATGGTTTTACGGAAGAGGTAGATGGTCTGGAGGGGGTACGTGTTCTTGTTGCAACAAAAGCAAAACCCAACAAGGATATTGAAAGTGAGCTTGATAGAGAATTTTTCAAAAGCTTCTTAGATGTAAGTTCACTGTATGTAATTCTTATTGCATATGTCTTCAAGATCTTCAATTTTTTCTATACATAGCATACTGATAGAATCCAAATTCTGTTTATGGTGGCATAGATTCTAAATCTCCCTCAACAAGCTGGAAGGTTTAATCTGTCAACACAGTTTCCTTACTACAAAGAAGTGTTCCACAAAGCAAATTTCGGAACGAGAATTCCGGGGAAACCTTTCATATTCGACATGGATATGAGTGTTGGAGATTTCCTAGCACTGTTCTATCTCCTGAAAGTGCCAGTTGAAGTAATTGACCTTCAGGTAAGAGGAACGTTTCACAGGTTGAAGCCTTGATATCATATTAAGCTTGATATATTTGAATGATATAGAGTAGTTTAGTTCATATTCCCTGCTATTTAGATATCAAAATGCATAGAGAAATGACACCTGAATCCAGGCAATATTAGTGACTCCGACCGGATGGGCTAATCCTGCTACAATAGATGTAATCTACGATTTGCTGCATATGATGGGTCGCGACGACATCCCTGTTGGTCTCGGAGAAATGTTCGCGATGCAACAATCTGACTCAGATTTCCCAGGTGTTGGAAACTGCAAGTACCTTAAGGCCATCCCACAAGGGAGTGGTGGACTTCTGGACTCAGACACTCTTTACGGGCTGGCTCGTGACTTGCCAAGAAGTCCTAGAAGGTGTACTAAATTTCTTTGTAAAAAGCAATTTTGTCTCTCAATCTATGCCCAAGTTGTTTGGGAATAAAATGCTGAATTTCATCCAGGTATACTGCGGAAAACTCTGTGAAGTTTGGTGCTCCTCGGGATACTGATCACCCGGAACTCAGGCAACCTTTAGCAATGGAAATTTGGGATTCTGTTGTGGGAAATATGAATCAAGGATCTAAGATTTCAATACTGACCAATGGACCCTTGACTAATTTAGCAAGGATCATTTTGGATAGGACAAATTTGACCTCTCTAATTCAGGTAATGAAGAATATAATTATATCTTACAGTTCCAGAAAATGAAGGCTAACCAGATATATCTCAAATCCCACTGCAGGATGTATACATTGTTGGAGGACACATGAGGAATGGCAACATGGCCAAAGGAGACGTCTTTACTGTCCCTTCAAATAAGCATGCAGAATTCAATATGTATCTTGATCCTTTATCAGCAAAGACAGTTCTCGAATCTCGACTCAATATCACAATTATTCCACTTGGAGCTCGTCGTAGCATAAGCTCATGTCGTAGCATGCTAGAAAGGCTGTATAAGGCAAGGGACGCAACACCAGAGGCTCAGTTTGCTTACAATTTGCTGTCAACACTACACCATTTGCAGCAGACTCGTCGAATATATAGGCACATGGTAAATCTTCGTGTCTAAATTTTCGTGTTCCTAAATTTTCCGATTATCACTAACTAATAAATATTAATTTGGTTTAGGAAACCTTCTTGGGAGAGATCTTAGGTGCAGTATTTGTTGCTGGTGATCATTCATTACTAAAACCTACCTTGCAAGGCAAGCATATCAAGGTCATTGTCGAAGGAGTTGAATCGAAAGACGGAGAAATAGTAATAGATCGGAAGAAAGGAAAATTGGTGAGAGTATTGGAAAAAGTGGATGCTATAGCATACTATGATATATTTGTAGATCAGCTCAGGAGTAAAAGTCAGTCTGCTGTTGTAGGATCCTTTGATGAGCAGATGAAAAAG